TTGCTGGAGCTAATTATGGTGGTCAATATTTGGATAGATTAGTCAGAGGCGATCATAGTGGCGCTGCTGAGAGGAAAAGGCATGATTTGGCGCTGGAAAAGTATCAAAAGGATGTGGCAGCTTGGAATGAAAAAAGACAAGCTTACAGGGATTGGTTGGACAAGAACTACGCAGATAAGATGCAGGCAGACAAGAACTTCGAAAATACGGACTACGCTTTTAAGCTTTATGCGCAGACGCATCTGGAGGTTAGGCTAAGTAAACCTCAGTTTAAGAATTACTACCAGCCTTCAAAAAAACAAAAAGATAGCGAACTGGTCTTCGTTGGTATCGCAGGGCTGGCCGGAGGTGCAGCTTTGGCGTGGGCACTGTAAAGTGCCTTTAATATAATGATCGTCTTTTTGGAAAGCGACAAGAATAACTTCACCACTTATTTGAATCCCCCCATCAAAGCCCATAAGGTTCGGCTCATAAGTTGCTCTTTGTACAATTCTTGGTATAACTTGATCAATGGCATGGTCACTGAGCATACGGGAGGATCTAACTATCAAGGCGTAATGCTGCCAATGGACATTACACCCCAATCACGCTGGCAAAAGAATTAGCTAAGCACGGTTATGCTCTCACCACAGGATTGCCGCACGAAATGACTTTCAAGCATAACCTACCTAACGATTACTCAGTAGTCCTAGGAAAAGACGATGCATTGGGATCTTTATTAGGTGTCTCAGGCAAGACGATTACCAACACGGCCATACCCGCGAAATAGAAAGTTGCATCCTCTTATGAAGTCCATTGCGATTTGGTCCACTCAGTCTCGGTTCCCGAGCCACGCGAGGGAACAGTCGGAAAGCCCTCTCATTTGATGTCAAAATTCCCGCCCAAGGGCAATCCATTTGACCTGGTAGAATACACTCCCATTTCTTTAAGCTATGACTTGTCTTGCGAATTGGTGTCGAGCATAAACATCACCATTAAAGTGGACGGAGAGACGGCGGACTTCAACGGGCGAAAGATCAATCTCGTCTTGGAATTCATATAATGCCCAGCGTAGAAGACAAACTCAAGAGGATTTACTATGGGCCGGAAGGCTATTGGAGAGGAGCGTCAGCTATCAAGAAACTTGCAGCCGCGGCCAGGGTATCAGAAGAAACGGCCAAGAACTGGTTAAAAAAACAAACCCTCTGGCAGGTTTATCTTCCCGTGCCCAAGTACATTCCCAGGCCCAGCTTCACCGTAAATGCCCCCAATGAAGTTCATCAGGCGGATTTGCTTTTCTTACCGCACGACAAGGTGAGAAGAAAGACCTATAGATACGCTTTGACCGTAGTTGATATCGCAAGCAAATACAAGGACGCCGAACCCATAACCAGCAAGGATTCTGGGGAAGTCGCAGAAGCCCTAAGTAGGATTTATAAGCGCGTTTTGAAATGGCCCAAGCTGCTGCAAGTGGATGCGGGAACAGAGTTCATGGGCGTGGCTACCAAGACCCTGAAAGACCACGGCACCAAGATTAGAAGATTAGAAGAGCCGAAGCAGAGTACCACAGAGGTCAGAGCATCGTCGAAAGATTCAATAAGCTGGAAGATCCATCCAAACGCAACAGGGAATGGACTCAGAGGCTCCCCCAGGTCATCGCGGCCTTGAACAACGAGGAGGCCAGGGCCATGGGAATGAAACCCAGGGATGCTATAAAAAAGAAACACGTGGAACACGAGTCCTACGTCAGAAGTTCAAGGGCGGTCTTCCCCCAGGAAAAGAGAATAGGCGATGTCACGGTTCGATATCTCTATGAGCCAGGTGAATTAGAAGGAGGATCCAAAAAAGCTACGGATCCTAATTGGTCTTTGAAAACTTACCAGATCCAAAGTGCAATAGCTAAGAAGGGTCAACCCATCTTGTATTATCTTCATGATGGTCCCACGCGTGGGTTCGTCAAAGAAGAATCTCTTACCATCAAACGCTGATAAAGACACCTTCTCTTGAGTAACGCTATGCAGCTGATGACCATAGCTGCGTATGCTGTTCATCTTGTGTCCTTGTTCCTTCCGGGTCTTTAAGACCTTTAAATATGAATCGTGGGTTATGTCTTTCTTAACCACATACTTTTTTACGCCTTTAGCTTTCTTATTTACGCCATCTAATTTTAACACGCTGTACATCTTTGTTTTAGTCCCACGTACTCTACTATGGGTTTCCCCTTCATCTCATCTTTCATCTTACCTATCACCTTTTTATTCTTTGCGGAGTAAAGGAATCTGTCTTTGGGGTATTCGCTGGTGTCGTACTCATCAATGTCTGGTACGCAGTCCTTGTAGACGTCTTCCGTCATTACTTCTAGTATTAAAAAGTCTGTGTCCGTGTAGAACAGTCGGCATTTGTCGCCGTACTTTGGTTTCAATTTGTCATAGTAAAACTCGTACATGAGCAACTTTGATAGGTCTAACACGGTAAACCCCGTGTATACGAGTTTGTTCAGGAATAGGTTCGCTTTCTTCATGTGAATCACATAGAAGTTCAGCATCTCTACGTACCTGACGAAACCTGGTTGCGACACGTAAGCTTCAGCTTCCTCCTTTGTGCTAGCTATCTTTATGCCTATCCTTTTGCGTATGTTCTCCATGGTCTTCCCAAATACGCTGTTGTTCATCAACTTGAATAGGTTCTTCTCAAAGTCGTTCTTTGCCTGGGTTCTCTTTTGGGTGTTAAAGTCGATGTAGCTACGCATCCAGGTTTCCTGCGTAAACTTCAGGACTCTGTGTATCTTTGTTATTCTCATACCATGTCTTACGTAGAACTGCAAATTCCTGTAATGTACTACATACTTCTTTCTATTCATTAAGTTCATGGTGAGTTTCCTGTACGGTTTGTACCCGGGACACATTTCTTTCTGCAGTGGACTCAGTTGCTTAAAAGGTATCTCTATTGCTTCTGTTGCTAGCGGGAATTCATTGTGTGAATCATGCAGATGCGCGGGGTATTCTAGGTCTACTTCTAAGATGTAACCTTTGTCGTCTTCCTTACCTACCTGCATGTAAAAGTCCTTTGAACGCAATTCTTCCCACTCAAAGTCGCGTACGGGTAAGTATTGCGACATTGCCCAACCATAAAGGTTGTTCGCATCTAAGTAAAATATGTATGAAGTGGGTTTGTCTGGGTCGTACGTTACTGCGGGGTTGTTCGCTTTGGCGTAGCGCCTGCTTGGACCGCAAACTCCACCACGAATACCATCTTCCATAAACCTGAACATGTCGTATTCCGTTAGCAGGTCTAATTGCACATTCGTCTTCCTTAACAAGGCACTCCCACTAAGCCCCGGAGCCGTGAAAAAGTTGGCTGGGTCCAACCCATAATATTCCATAGCCATCTTTCTAAAGCTCTGGAAGACGTCTGCTAACAGTACTACGTGTGACCTTAAGTAAATGTCGTGGTAGTCACCCATGTTCCTACAGGAGTGCTTCTCCCACACGTCTAACGCATGCTGGTATTCTTCATCTTTTATGCCGGATTCGGTTATGGTGCTGTAGAATGCTTCCTTCGGTGGTAGGGGCTCTTCGACCTTCTGCCAGCTGCTCATGTATTCGTATGGGTAAATTCCCTTCCTTTCTGCACCGTATTCACTGGAAATGGGAAACTCGGTGTTGTATCTGACTAAGTTGGCTAAAGAGTCTGCCATGAACTGCTGTGAATCTAAGAACTTTAGCTTACCAACAGTTGCAGACATGTACCTCTCTTTGTTGTTGGGTATACACTTCACCTCAGACCCGTCAGTTCCCTGTAGTAGTAAGTGACTATCGTAACCCCTTAAATTGTGAAAGAATACGGGTATCTCCATTTCTGGATTCACTTTAGTATTGCATCTCCAATGCGCTGCTCCTATGTACTTACCCGTTACTTGACAATAGTCTATCACCTTATCCACATAGAAGTCTTCCACAAATGCTTTATGACAATCAATGCAGTGGGTAGAAGGCTTGTCAGGCTTTTCCCCCTTCCTTGCATACCTACCACATTTAAAGTGTGCTTCTCCTAAATACTTCCCATCTTCATCCCACGCTTTCTTGGCTCGTCTTCCAAACTGTAATAGTGTCTGTTGGCATACGTGACATCTCTTTGCCTTAGCAAACGCTTCCTGGTTCTCTTTGGTAAATACCATCTTCTTTGGACGCCTTAATTGTTCTCTTATCTCTTCCTCCTCTTCTCGCAATGCTTCTAGAAAGTAGCGTCCTCTTTACCTTCCTTTCCGACCTTACCCAAAACTGTCTAACGTCAATTTCACCGTTTCCGGGTATTGACATTGTCTTGAAGTTGCTTTGGGATTCCATATATAATAGGAAATATTATATATCTAGTTCCAGCTCCTTTTTATATCATCGTAGTCATACTTACAGTCCTGACAATGCCAAAACAACTTAACCTTAGTCAGAAAAGACTTACCACACATACAATCATAGCTGCTCATACATTTCGTCTTTCTCATCTTTAAATGCTTCTTCAAATCTGCTTCTTTCTTAAAAGCTCTACCACAACCTTCGCACTCCATATTTGGACACAAATATCTTCACTTCGACCAGTACTTTACGCGGATAATACCCGTACTACCCTAACTTGACGCGGCTAATCCTCGGGTGGTCAACTGCGCTGATACCCCCATCCCCTATACTACTCACTTCACGGCCCGTGTATGGGCGATGTGAATACAATAAGTGAAAGGTCAACCATATGGAATTTTCCCAAAAATGGTCTGTATGTTTTTTCTGCAGTAATTTGTTCTGTGCTGACATTATATACATATAGGCATAATACATGGCAAACAACCTGCAGTATGTAACATGTACAAAACCCTTTATCAAACTTTTTTGAGACAGCTGTATAAATACCGACAGACACGTTTTACTTTTTTCTAACATTTTAATATACTTTTTACTATCCAGTTCTCGTTTTCGAAATACAAAAAATGAATTCCTGTTTTTCATGTATATTTCTGTTATGCGTTAAAGAACTGGAAGAGTGAACTATATATTTAGTACTGACTCCCCCACGATCAAGGCCGATTGGTTAACAGCTCTTAATACTGCTGTTCTTAGACTTGGTAGGTCAATCAGTTTTTTTTTCCTTTCCTTCCTGTTATTTTTTTCTTTCTTTCTTTCTTT